GAAAGTTGCACGGAACTAGGGGCTGCCCAACCCCAGGGCTCCGGCGTGCGGCGCAGGCGCAGTGCGGCCCCCGGAGGGGGCGGGGCGAGGTCAAGGAGGCGAGCGGCCCGCCCCTTAAAGGGGCGATGAGCCGCGGGCCGCGCGCGGGGGGCGCACAGGTCGAGCAGCCTTGATCGGAAGGATGGGTGCGGGAGGTGACGACCAAAAGTGAGGGTCGGGGTGGGGGGCGAAGAAGAGCTGAGTCGCGGGAGCTCGTCACTGACTTCTCCCAAGGTCCTCCCCTCGCGTCTCATTTTTCCCCCCGAGAAATGGGAAAGGGCGTAACGTGAGCCGGGAAGGGACGGTCCCCTTGGAGCTTCAGTCTCGAGCTGGATGGAAGCTTGGCTGAGCGCCGGCAAGTCCGGGTTTTATGCCACTGGGTCCAAGAAGGAAAGGAGGGAAGAGTGGGGTAAAGGGAACCCGAGGGACTCGTCCCCCCGGCGGTGGACTTCAGGGCTTCGCTTTCCTCTGGGACGCCGTTCCGGAGCCCTCGTTCCTGGGCAGGCCGACCGCGATGGTTGGGAGGATTCTGGGCGTGGCTCTCAGCTCCCCCATACCTGCTTCCCCAGAAGTTTGAAATTCCACCTATTCTTCCGAGTCAAGAACGCAGATATCCCTGGGGCCTTAGTATCAACGACTGCCGTTTTGCAATGCACTTTTGTGCGCAGGGTCCTCGTCTTTGCGAAGATCCTTTCTGTCGTGAGGAAATATGCTGGGTGAAGAAAAGGGACCTGCCTCACGTCACCCAGTGGTATTTATTGCTGGCCAGTGGCTAAATGCCTGGGTTGGTCAATCGTCTGAGGGACCAGCACTGCCTAGCTGAGAGTGGGTCCTTGGGGGGTGGACATGGAACTGGAGACATTCCTCTAGGAGGGAGGCAGGTATCTGGAAGAAGGGAGGCAAACTTGGCTGCTTCTGCAACTTTCCCCGTGGGGTTTCGTGTTCTTTGCAACATCTTCAGCTTATTGCCTCAGTTGTTCTCTCTGAAAATGGGAGAAATGTATGTCCCCCACCCTGCACTGAGGAGAGGGTGAGAGTGGAGCTCCCAGGGCTGTGGGAGTAGAAACACAGGCAGTTACTACTTTTTATTAGAGCCATGGCTAACACCCACCATCTATCATAAGGCTGGAGTGGGTAATGATGGAGCCAGGATAAGGAGGCTTCTAGGTGATAAATAAGCACACACTGTGATTATATGTTCCTAATTATTATCATCCATTTTATTGGTATTGCTAGGTGTGAGAGCTAGCAGTGAAACCGGCCCACAGGAGAAACTCCTCTGAGGCCCGTGTCTCCCTCTCCCTTCTCAACCACCCCCTCACATTCATTCAGCCCCCACCCCCAACACACACACACACACACACACACACACACGCACACACACACACACGCACACACACACACACACATACACACACACACAAGGAGGAACCATGGATCCCCTAAGGCCAGTGCCAGCCACCATCTCTCTCAGCACAGACATTGTTCTCTAGGTGAAAAGAGTCCTGCGTCTCCTTGAGGTGAGAAGGGTGTGACTGACTAGGGGACCAGTTCAGGAAACTGTGGGGATTTGTAGAAGAGGGAAGGAACGTCTGTGACTCAGATGTAACTGTGTGCATGTAGGCCTCCTGTTTTTGGAGCTTGCTGTAGGACTACATCCTCTGGCTGGGTGGGGTGGCTTACGCCTGTAACCCCAAAGCTTTGGGAGGCTGCGGTAGGTGGATTGCTTGAGTCCAGGAATTTGACAGCAGCCTATGTAACACAGTGAGATCCTGTCTCACTGTCACCCAGGCTGGAGTGCAGTAGCACGCTCACGGCCACCACAGCCTCGACCTGCTGGGCTCAGGCAATCCTTCCACCTCAGCCTTCCAAGTAGCCGGAACTACCACGCCCAGCTAATTTTTTTTTTAATTTACTGTAGAGACAAGGTCTCACTATGTTGCCCAGGCTGGTCTCAAACCCGCGGGCTGACAATCCACTCGCCTCAGCCTCCGGAAGTGCTGGGATTATAGGCTTGAGCCACCACGCCCAGCCAAAAAAAAGTTTTAATTAGCTGAGCATGGTGGTATATGCACCTGTAGTCCCAGCTACTCAGGAGGCTGAGGCAGGAGGATTGCTTGAGCCCAGGAGTTTGAGGCTGAAGTGAGCTAGGATCACCCCTTGATACTTTAGCCTGGGTGGCAGACAGAGCAAGATCCTGTTTCTATGGGGAAAAAAAAAAAGAATTGCCTCCTTCACACTGGGGCTGCCTTCTGGAGCCACACACCTGCCCTCATCATTCCAGGCTTCTCTCTACCCTAAGTCCACCTATCTAGAACAGTCTCTCACATGGAGACTCCTGGTCCCAATGCCCGTGCTTGGAAAACATAAGGGACAAGAGTGTCAGAGATCTGCTGCTTAGAGCAGGGCTTAGTGTGGAAGGCTGTGAGGCTGACAATTGAGGAGTGTCACTTGGCTTTGGCAGAGTGAGTGACCCTTGCCTCTTGCAGCCTTTGGTCCTGAGCTATTGACACAGTCACCCAGTTACACACACTGGGTTGCTAAGTAGCTCTCTGGATGCATGTCCGAGCCCCAGGGCAGGTGACCAGGCAGGCACACAGCAGAAAGCTGGGCATTCAGGGACCGCAAGAGCAAAATGTCTTTCAACCCCTCAGAGGAGCTGCCCCCTTGGGGGAGTGACTGTCAAAGTGATGTTTATCTTTCTGCCAGGCAACAGAGTGCCAGTGTGTCTGGGAGACTCAACCCACGTTACCTGGCAACCAGGGACAGGATGAGGGCGCATTTCCCATTCGCAAAAGCAGGACAGGCCATCCCAGGATGATGGATGCCTCTAAGCCGAGAACACAGGACATGGCTTGAGGAGGTAGAAGCCCAGTTAAGTCGCCTATTGTGAGGTGTGGGCGGGGTGGATTGGCTGGGTCAGAGGCTACAGGTAAGATATTGGGTATAGGGACTCCAAGACTGAGGATGAGCAAGGAACCTTCACCCACAGGCAGCAGTCCTTTCCGGAGATCAACCTCCTTCTCTCACATAAAACAACCTTCTCAGAACTACTTGTGTATCTCATGTATTTCTACAGATCACTACAAACCATAATTATGTGCCAGACACACTATTCTAAGGGCCTTACATATATTAATATATATATACCTAATTCATTTAAATCTTGTGAAAAGTAACCCTGCCAGATAAGTATCGTGATTGTACCCATTTTTACGGAAGAGGAACCCGAGAACAGAGACACAAATAGTCTAAGTTATGTGACTGAGTGTTACTGGCTGGCTTCACCTGGCTAGTCAGCTGGCAGAATCAGGCTTTAAAACGTGGGCTTTGCCACAGTGGTTCACATCTTTGGGAGTCGGAGGTGAAAGGATTTCCTGAGACCAAAGGTTTGAGACCAGCTTGAGCAACTTGGTGAGACCTCATCTCTATGATAAATCCAAAAAAATTAGCCGGGCATGGGGATGCGTGCCTGTGGTTCCAGCTACTTGGAAAGCTGCAGCGGAAGGATTGCCGGAGCCCAGCAGGTCAATGCTGGGGTGGCCGTGAGTGTGCCACTGCTCTCCAGCCTGGGCGACAGAGTGAGACTCCAACTCAAAAAAAAGGAAAAATCCCGTTTACTCAAGTCCATGGGGAGAGGGGATGACAAAGAGAAGAGGAGTCCCCACAGTTCAACTTCAACAACACCCCCATTTTGCCATCCAGTATTTGCGTACTGTCCCCAAGAGCCCCATTGCTCATGCTGGCTGACCCTGGGCATGGCTCTGGCGTGAGTCCCACACCTGCCCCCCACCTGGTCCCCAACTGACTCCTCTCTCACTCCTATTGCCATGGACTCTCTCGACTCTGTTCTCAGAGATGGTAAGGGACCCTGACTGCCCACAGGGGCTTGGGTGCGTAAGATGGGGCCAGTCACAGAAGATCTTCATGTGAACTTGCTCCCAGAAGAACAGGGAGCCAAGGCAGGTTCCTGGCAGGGGATGCCACAATGGAAATATGTGTTAGGAAGGTTAGACTGGAAGGGTGTGAGAAGTGGGTTGGCGGAGAGGCAGGTAAGGGACCCAAGACAATGGGCAATCAGGGAGGGTTTGGACAAAGGCTGTAGCAGGGAAAGGACAAAAACAAAAGTGCTCATCTAGAGAAACTCCGGAACACAGAATGGAGAAGACATGGTGGCTGATTAAATATGGGGAGAAAAGGCTGGGTATGGTGGCTCATGCCTGTAATCCCAGCAATTTGGGAGGCTGAGGCAGGAGGGTTGCTTGAGGCCAGGAGTTTGAAGTTACAGTGAGCTATGATCATACCACTGCATTCCAGTCTGGGTGACAGAGTGAGACCCTGTCACTAAATAAATAAATAAAGGAGAAGAGGGATGGTGATGTTACATAGGAATCCAAAATGCCTCACCTGGGTGGGAGGTGGCAGCAGTGACAGGCATTTGCCCAACAGAGGATCCAGGGTGGGGGGCAGAGGAGGGGGGGTGAATTTGTCATTTTCCATGCTGGTCAGAGCTGACCTGACAGAGGCACAGACTCAAGTCTTATGGGTCCCCAGACTGTAATCTCCAGGAAAGAACACTTGGGCTGTGAGTCAACCCCAGGTGGTGGAGACTCGTCACACTGGCTCTGAACCTGCATGCCATCCCCGTGAACTCCTGACCCCATCCCCAGCTGACCTTGGGGCTGTCCACTCCTCAGAAGGAAGGGAGCCTGGAGGAAGAGGGTCTGGAAGCTGACACCGGGCCTGAGTGCAGCAGGGCCAGCCTGGGCTCTGGATGCAGCAGGGTGCACCAGGGTGCAGCAGAGCCAGCCTGGGCTCTGTTCTCAATGCTATGACTTGATAACACAGAGCTGGCCGTGGGGTGAGAACTTTTTATTTGAAGCAAGTGAATCAAAGCATTGCCCCCTCTCCACCCCAGTACCCTGGGCACCCTGCCGCAAGGAGCATCACACCCTCTGGCCCCATGGCGGGGGCCGCCCCACCCTACCAGCTCCCTTGCACCAACCTGGCATCTCAGAGCCGTCCATGCCTAGCGTACAGCAGATGGCAGCAGAAGCTCGGTTCCCAGGTCCCTCCCACTGGCCCCTCACCCACTGAAAGGCGCTGCTTTCTAGGGGTGCCTCTCTGCAGGAGGGGGTGCCGGGGCCTCAACTTGCCCTCAAGCCAAGTTCCCCTCCCAGCCCCCTCACAAGCAGCTCAGAGGTCAGCTCTTGGGCCTGGCCAAGGAGCCAGCGCAGCTCAGAGGCCATGTCTCAAAGACAGGGTGAGCCAGGGGCTGGTCCAAGTCTGAGGAGGTGACAGCTACAGAGAGAAAAGCAGAAAGGCTTTCAGCTGGGGGGACTCCTGTCCACGATGAGCTGGGATTCAAGGTCACAAAGGACACTCCTGTGAGAACAGATGCAGTACTGACAGGCACCCCGGGTCTGCTGCTATTATTGCTTCAGGCAGAAGGGCTTTGCCCCCGGGAAGCCAAGCTGGCACTCTGCGGCTGGAATGGCCATTCTCATCCTGAGTTGCGAGGTGGGCACACTGGAGTGAGCAGAGGAGGGATGAGAACTGTGGGCCCCTTTGAGAGTCAAGGTAACAGGGGATCCCCTTCAGGCAGTGCCGAAGCTGCCTGTGTGCACACGCGCCTTGTTGATCTGTGGGAACGGGAGTGTAGACAGATGTGTGAGTGTATAAGAGCATGTGTGCGTCAGTGTCCACGTGTGCATGCAGCAGGTGGGGCAGGGGTGAGTGCACCTGGAAGCATGACGAATGTGACCGTGGGCTGCACTAGGGAGCCTGAGCAGGTACACAACACCTTGAGCACCGACAAGAGGATCAGAGGGGCAGAAGAAGTGGAGAGTCAGGAGGGTGCAGGTCCTCCTCCCTCCCAGCACCCCACCCCGTTTCACCAATATGCACGAGATGGGGGAGGTGTAGAGTAGGGAAGGCAACAGAGCGAGGGGGGACTGCAGATAGGGTGGAGGGCACCGAGTGCGGGGTATACTGGGTGTGCCTGGTGCAGATACCAGTGTTCATGCTACTTACAGAGATGGTACATGGCTCCCCTGGGCCAGTCCCCAGGGTGGGTCCATGCCCGCCTGGTATGTGTGTATGTGAGGTCACGGATGTGGGTGGCCACCTGTTGTCACGCATGCACACGTGCCGCTCACAGAAGCCCCTACCCAGCCTCCCGCGGCCATCCCGAGGAGCCCGGAGGCCTTGGCATCTCCCTAGGCACTGAGATCCACCACTACATGTCGGTACACCAGTGTTTGTCCCTTGAAGCTGGGGGCCAGGAGCAGCTGGGCGTCCCCAGCAGGCATGTAGCAGAAAGCCCGAGGGGCCTGCACAGCCAGCTCCTGGAACCGTACAAACTTCTGTCGCCCCTCGTCCCACTGGTAGATCTGGGTAAAGGAGAAGTCGCTGCCCAGTGCCAGGTAGCGACGGCCACCCACAAGGAAGGGCTGCAGGGCCAGCGAGCCCCGGGAGGGCAGGGCCTGCACCTCAGAGAAGCGGGTGCCCTCCCAGCGCAGGATCTTGGAGTCACCGATGTAGCGGCTGAGGCACAGGTAGCTGTCGCGGCCAGCACGAAAGTGTTTCACAGCCTGGGCGTCAGGCACCTGGGTCACCTCACCCTGGGCCACGAACTGCTTCTGGGTGCGACTCCACTGATAGATGACAGGCGCCTGGGAGCTGCTAGACACGATCAGCCTTGGTTTGCCCTCGCCGTCCACAAACTCGAGGTCAGTGTCACGGTGCCAGGCATGCAGGGCCTGGTGGGAGTAGAAGCCATTCTGATGCCAGCGGTAGAGGCTGGTGGCACCCGCCTTGGAGCTGTCGGCCACAGCAAAGTACCAGTCGCCGTCGATGCGGAAGGCCTCTAGGTCGTTGGGTTTGCGCACGCGCTGGGGGTCTATGTCCTGCAGTTTGGTGAAGCGTGTGGTGTTGGGGTCCCAGTGGTGAATGTAAGAGCCGCCAAACAGCTGGGCCACGACCACGTACAGCTGGCTGTCCACCACCATGGGCTTGCAGTGCACTGCTGAGGGGGCTGTGCCAGACAGAGGCAGGCAGGGTTAGACAGGCCCACAGCTCCCAGCCCATCCCACCCCTTTGGAGATCAGTCCCCCTCAACCTTAGGCCAGGACCAAGACTCTCTGCTCTAGTGTTCCAGCCCCACTGACTATCATCCACTAAGCACTCAGTGCTTTTGTTCCCCTTGAGACGAGGTCTTACTCTGTCGCCCAGGCTGGAGTGCAGTGGCACAATCATGGTTCACCAAAGCCTGGACCTCCTGGGCTCAGGGGTTAATAGCTGGGACTATAGGCCCATGCCACCACGGCCGGCTAATTTTCTGATTTTTTGTAGAGACGAAGTCTCGCTATGTTACCTAGGATAGTATTGAAATACTGGGCTCAAGTAATCCTCCCGCTTGGCCTCCCAAAGTGCTGCAATTATAAGTGTGAGCCACCACACCAGGACCTCAATGCTTTCTAATGGGTTCATAGCTAATAATCAGTTTTAGTATCACCCTCACTCCACCCTTTCCCCCAGGATTCAAATATAAGCTGACCCTGAGCACAAAATAAATGTCGCTAATTTGGCTGGGTACAGTGGCTCACGCCTGTAATCCCAGCACTTTGGGAGGCAGAGGTGAGAGGATTGTTTGAGCCCAGGTGTTTAAGACTAGCCTGGCCAACATAGCGAGATCTCATCTTTTTATTTTTTTGGGTTGGAGTCTCACTCTGTCGCCCAGACTGGAGTGCAGTGGCCACTCCC